TAGAGCTCTGCTCTAGGTCGATATGGTACTGTGACAGTGATAGAGAAAGAAGATAATTTAATAAAGCAGTATGAAAATGAGAATTTGAATTTTTATCAAGTAATTCCATGTAAGAATGAGGGATATTTGTCATGTAAATGTTGCTGTCATTTGTGCACATTTCAAATGAGAAAAAAAAATCTTCCAGAAGAGTCTGTAGATTCTAAAAGTCATTCATTAAATCCAACTCGGAAGGGACTAGAGAGATGGCTCAGCAGTTAAGAGCACAGTCTGTTCTTCCAGAGGCCTGATATTGATTCTCAGCACCTACATGGAAGCTAACAACCTTCTGTAACTCCAGTTCTGGGAGATCCAATACCCTTTCGTGGCCTCTGCAGGTGCGTCACACAAGTGGTGCACAAATATACGTGCAGACAAAAACACCCACATAAATAAAAAATAAAATTGAATGAATCATTTTGTTAATTGGAAGGTTAAATTCACCAATTAATAAAGATCTTTGTATAATTGGCAGGCTGATATAAAAATTACCAAGATTAATATTCATAATCAATTCTGTTTCACAAATAGCATTTCATATCTATGAGAATCTTGTTTTTCATGTAAGCCTTTGAAACTACAAAAAAATCAATGTAAAATATACTCTCAAATTCACATATTACAGAATATTAATAAGATAACTTTCAAATTTTTAAATATCATTTGTTCCTGATTTTTACCTCTAAAATGTTATCATTCCTAAAAGGTTTTGTAATGTTGGTAAACCAAATGTTTAAAATGTCCTCATACAGCCCTCTTTGCCTGTTGCTCTGGAATAATCCTTTTGTACACTGTGAAGATTTGTTGCTATGATTGATTTAATAAACAAGCTGACAGGTCAATAGCTGACCAGCATAAAGCTAAGTGGGAAAGCCAAACTGAGAATGATAGGATGAAGAAGGGTGGAGTCAGAGGAATTGCCAGCTAGACACAGAGGGATCAGGAGATGAATGTGTCATGTTAATTAAGATACCATCATGTGGCAGAGTGTAAATAACAAGTATGGGTTAACTTAAAATGTAAGAGCTAGTTAGTAATAAGGCTGAGCTATTGACTGAGCATTTATAATTAATATAAGCCTCAGTGTGTTTATTTAAGAGTGGCTACAGGACAGGAAAACTCTGCCTATAGCCTATCTCTGAATATATTAAGACATAAATAAGTCGTTAATAAAGTTGTACATATTTACATGACATATAAACATGTATATTAGCACATAAGTATATTTATAACTTTTATCTTCAGGACTAAATGTTCACAAAGGTCAAAAATACTTGAACTCTCAAGTTGCAGATGAGAAGTGCAGACTCGAGGTCAGGACCTGCATGGCTGTCCTCTTCCTACATAGGAATCTGCCTCTGTTCAGCTGAGCTTAAGACACAGTGGCCCATAAGGCCATGTGCCCATGTCCTCTCCATCAGATATCTTCTTCAATCTTTTGTTTGCTTTCCAGAGAAGAATCAGACACTGGACTTCAGATTTATCCTTAGAGAGTTTGGATTGGCTAAAATGAACAGAAGGTCTAGTGGTGACTTTTGGGTATAAATATGACTTCCTCTCTGACTGTTAATCCTGTGTTTCCCTCTAGTTTGAGGTCAGATTCCTTGAGAGCAGCTGAAGCAGATACTGCCTCTGCACACAAGTGGTTAACTTCAGAAAAGCCCCAAGAGAATCTGGGGAGAGGAGATGACAAAGCAGGATACAGGAGCAGAAAGAAGTACACCGTCACGTGACATTGGGCAGAACTGCAGGAATAACCTGATGGTTAAGGAGCTTGGCAGCATCCTCAGGCCTCAAGCCTCAGGCAATCCCTGTCAGAGAAGTGCCTTCCTTCTTCTGCACCCTCAGGCAGGGCTCCTGGCCACTCTTGGTAACCTGGGCTCTGAGCCGCTGGGCTTCAGAAGGCTGATGGCAACCTTGTGGGGAGCTGCAGGTAAGCTGTCAGAGCAAAGCAGAGCAGAGGCACACAGGTTGTTAGAGTTATTCCAGGAGATACAGTGGGACTCAGGTACATTTTATCACTTGCTGTATAAACTGGAAAACTAAGACTCTGCTGCATCATTGCTACTGCCAGAGTGTCCCCAGTACAGAGCTGGTTTGGCTCCTCCATGCCATCTCAATTGAGTCCACACAGTTACAGTGAGAGGAATGATGACCAGGCACCATCAGCCCACCTCATGCCTTGTTATAGAGCTGAAACACTAAAATTTATGTTTAGTACCTGCACGTGAGTGAATTCTCTAGATGATACAAATTCATTTTCAACATCGAAACTGCATGTAGTAGCCAGGTGTAGTGCTTCACACCTGTCATCCCAGTATTCAGGAAGTGGAGGCAGGAAGATCAACAGTTCAAACCAGTGGGCTACAAAAGCAGAGCTCATGCCCCGTAAAGACAAGAGCTGGGATTTGAGCTTAGTAGGAAAGAAACACTTCCCTAGCTTGTACAATGCCCTGGGGTTCATCCTTAGTATTGGAAAAGATATTTACCATATTAAATTAAAAAATCTAAAATGCATAATATCCTTATCTGCCCAAAGATTTTTAAGTAAAATCAATGCTTTGTAGCAATTTGAGACCATCACTGCGAATATCAAGTGCTGCTGAGTGTTATTCTTTGGTGATACACTAAGAACTTACTAAGATGCTAAAAGATATTTGGTACTCATAGTCCTTTTACTGTTCATGTTAATCCTTGAAGTATTTTCTACCATTTCCCAACATCTCCGCAGCCTACATCCTCAGTATGTACTGTTGCTGGTGTCCCCTTTATCTGTAACTAATAGTCCTACAATGTCTAAGTGCATATGCCACAAAGTATAGGATAAACTAGTATCTTAGTTCTGTGCTTGAAGTTGAGGCTAATACCCTTTTACTTTTAAAAGCATTCCTTTGAAAATGTTATTGCCCATGGAGGTTGCAAATGCTTGAGTGTAATGAAGTCAAGTAGACAGAAGAAGCTTGCCTGGTGTACAGAATGTGCTTCTGGCCCACGCTACCGCTCGATTGTTGGGGAAAATCTGCTGTGTGAAAAGGATGGATATAGAATAGGAGAGGTCTGTGGGTTGAATGGTAGGTAGGTAGAGTCCTGGCAGAAGCCAAGAGATCATTTGTGACACAGTCGGGAGAGGTTTGTCTAGGTCGAGATACTGGGTGTGGGACCCTGGTTAGATATAGTTGGTTGGGGAGAAAGTGTGGATGGGAAGGTCAGGAAGACTCTAAAGGCAAGACCCTGAAGAAGAAGGTGGGAAATATAGCTGGGTAAAGAGGGTGGATGCAGCACAGAGGGGGCCTGGAAATGGTGGTGAGTCATGAATAATTTTTGATGTGTTTTTTAAATTCATATTACAAATGTTTTATGAGAATTTTTGCTTCAGCGTTCATCAGAAATATTAGCCTACACTCTTCTTTTGTTGTTGGTGAATCTTTGTCTAGTTTTGTTATTAGTAAAATATTGATTTCATAAGGCAAATTGGTAGAGTTCTGTCCTTTACAGTTCATGAAATAGTTTGAAGAATAGTCATGTTAGTTCTTCTTTAAAGTTCTGGTAGTATTTATTAGTAAAATCCATCTAGGCCTGGGTTTGTTTGCTTGTTTGGGAGATGTTTTAAATTGCCTTTTCTATTTCACTGCTTGTTAGAAATGCGTTTAAGTTGTTTATGTGTTCTGCATTTAAGAACTAAGAAATTAGTTCTTGTGTACATATGTATGGATCCTTCCCTTTAGATTTTCCAACTCACTGGACCATATGTATTGAAGGTATGCCGTAATGATCTTCTAAATTCTGTTGGTAGCTGTTGTAATGTCTCATTTGTGTGTGTGTGTGTGTGTGTGTGTGTGTGTGTGTGTGTGTGTGTGTGTGTTGTTTGCCTCTATCTTCATCAATTTGTATATTCTATCTCTCTTTTTTGGTTATTTGACTGAGGATTTGCCAATCTTGTTTATCTTTTCAAAGAAATAATCTTATTTATACATTTTATTACTTTCTGACTTCAATTTTTTTCTATTCTCTGGTGTGATGCTTGGGTTTGTCCTTGCTTTCTTTAAATTTTTTAAGGTCTTATTTTATACCAGGAAAGAAAAAGGCCTGAGAGAATCCATCTATCCCCCCCATAGGTCACAGTAGCATGTATTATATAAAGGGGCAGGGTTTCTGCCTTTTGGATTATATCACTCCACTTCAGATGCTGATTGGTGTTTTACTTATCAGACACACATGTGTGAGCACACACACACACACACACACACACACACACACACACACACACACTTCTCAGCTCTCCTTCATGTAAGTTCCTAACCCTATCATAGATAGAAATAGATGGGAATCATTGTGTGTAGAGTCTCTGGAGATTTCAGATATGACAGTGATCTCTTCCGTTGGGTCATTTCACACCTAAATGAGGTTGGCTCTAGCTGTGGCACCATCATTTGCCTCACTGACTCCTTTTCAAGGCTGTTTCCTAACTTACATGGCAACAGCTCAGCATTCTTCTCCCACCTCCTTCCGTATCTCTCAGGAACCATAAACACGTGGAGACTGGGGTAAAAGCTGATCTCTACTCTATCTACTCCCAGAACTGAGTGTCCCCAAAGTAGGTAGTGTTTCCTGTGATATGCACCTATGAGTGTGAAGCTCCATCTCCTGAGTGTTCCATACTATTTTCTCCCACGCATTTGGACAGCAACAACTCAGAAGGAGCTGGTGGTAGTGTTTTATTGAGAAAAGGGTGAACGATGGACTCCACAGTGATGCATTTGAAAAGCAAGTAGAAGAAATCAACAAGGGACTAGCCACTTAGGTGTGCAGGGTCTGTCTGCAGCATTCTTCTCTACTGATCTCTTGGTGCTCGCAGTCTGAAGAGACATCCTCTGGAGCTGGGATCCCCTATCTGAGGAAAGGGGAGCTAGAGGAAAAGATAGATCAAGGGCAAAAAACACAGTGTAGCCTGGCATAGATCCTCAGGCATGGTAACAGTTGAAATGTGTCACAGACATCTTGTTTTGCTTGGCCACAGTGTTGATCTCAAAATTGCAGGTTATTCTCTACAAAAGGGGAGAGAAAAGGACAGTCAGTTTAGGTTACAGCCTGAGGTGTCAGAGTGGAGTGGGAATGGTAGAAGTGAGACAATCATACCTCCCTATCACTCCTGTTAAGTCCCAAAGTACTCAGACTGACTCAGCAGAATGCATTCAACATTTCTCTCATTGCTGCCCATCCTTCAAATGGCACCTGTCCCTTACTTTAGCAGCTTATGGGATTCTGTATCCCCCTTGTTTAGCATAACTCTGTAAGGAACAGCTTGTAAATGAGGCACAGAATCCCCAGAGTCAATCCAGAGAATAAGACTCAGTGTCTGTGAGTTCCTTCACCTCCATAACCTAGACCAGCACTAAGAGGTGGACTGAAGAATCAGGGGTGTGAAAACTTCTGAAAATGGCAGGGTATAGGAGGGGTGACAAGAAGAATGCAGCTATCCCCAGAACCATAGTATTTCAAAAACCAGCTTCATCTCTGGAGAGACTAGGAGCATAACGGGCAGCTTTGGAGCATTTCCACCTAGAAGGTCATCGTCCCTTCAGAAAATTTCCTTCTCTCTTGGAACTATTCCTGAAGCTGACTATATCATTTCAGCAGGCAACATTCCTAAAGTTGGTACTAACTCCTAAAGCTAGTACTCCGATTCCCAGGGGAAATTCACTGAGCAATTGGAATTAACAGTATGGCCAAATATACTCACTCCTGTACCACCTGACATCAGCAAGGATTTGTATCAGCATAAACTGGCATCACATAATTCATATGTACCTATTCCATAAATCATAATACCCTATAACACATGCATACTTACACACACACACACACACACACACACACACACACACACACACACATCCCCTTTCTCATATATTTATATAACTGCACACAAACCATCCCAGATGCATGTGCACTCATAAACCTACAGGTTTGCACACACCCCTCCCTGCAAGGTAATTCCTCATCTTGCAGGTTTTGATCCATGTGCATACCTTCTGCTGATCTGGCTGTTCATTGAAGGGACAGTCAGCCAAATCAGACTGGGTTTTGGTACATGTAGTTCGGCCAAACTTTATTTTCACATAGAAGTTCTTCCCGGACACTTCCTATAGTGAAAAGATCAGGATTACATATATCTCACCAGTCAAGTTCATATGCAGGCAGTCAGTTTACATTACAGAGTTAATGTGTTCATAGTTCCATCCATGAGCTGCTGGAACCCAGAGAACACACTAGCTACCTTTCAATAGGGGAGCACAGGCTTATATCACAACTCATTTCCTTCTGAGCAACTCTAAGAGGGTACCTTGTGCTTCTGAGCAAGAGCAGAATCAGAATATGGAAAGCAGAAGGCAAGGAATGACAGTTCTTTCAGTGGAATCAGGGAATCAAGACAGAGTTCTAGGGAGATAGCCATGGATGATGAATACTTCCCAGGGTTGCTCTGAGCACAAACAAAATCTCTAGGTTGCACACAAGACTAACTCAACCCTGCTGACTGTGACTCTGGAGTCAATGACAGTGGTAAACTCTAGGAAGGCCTCAGGATGATGACTCACCTTCAACGGTATCCTCAACACAGCACACAACCCATAGAAAGCCTATTCTCTCCATTTACCAGTAGTTTTCAAGACTCTTTTCTTTACAGGGTAAGGAAATGTGGGATTTTTACACCTGAAGATGATGTAAGGCAAAAGGAAGGTTGTGGTGGTATTTTACTTGTACTGAAATGTGATTTTAATTGTATGTTAATAAATAAAGTTGTCTGGGGGTCAGAGCTATTAGAGCCATAGCAAGTGCATGGCGGCGGTACAGGTGGCTCTAACTGCCTCATCTTTTAGTGTGATTGTCTATGATGATATTTTTCTTTCTTTATTTTTGATTTTTAAAAAAGATTTATTCATTTATTATGTATACAGAAGAGAGTGCCAGATCTCATTACAGATGGTTATGAGCCACCATGTGGTTGCTGGGAATTGAACTCAGGACCTCTGGAGGAGCAGTCAGTGCTCTTAACCTCTGAGTCATCTCTCTGGCCCTATTTACTCTGAGTTTTGCTTGTTCATTTTATTAGTTTTTTTGAGACAGATCTCTCCATGGAATCTAGGTTGGCCTTCAATGTTGTGTAGTTCAGGATGGCCTTGAACGAGCAATCCTCTCATCTCACCTTCATGAGTTCTGAGATTACCTGCCTGACCACTAAACCCTATTTAAACCAACCAAACTTGACTTCTTGGGACTAGAAATAAGAACTTGTGCTGGCTTAACTTGTTTGTTTTATTTTGTTTGTCAACTTGACACAAGCTAGAATCATCTGAGAGAAAAGAACCTTAATTGAAAAAATGCCTCTATAAGATTGAGCTTGGGCAAGCCTATGGAGAATTTTCTTGATTAATGTTTGAAGTGGGAGGGCCCAGACCATTGCAGATGGTGCTACCCATAAGCAGTGTTAGGGTCTCAGGCTGAGACCTAACACACAGGTAGTCCTGGAGGCATAAGAAAATAAACTGAACAAGCCCAGAAGCATCACTCCTCCATGGCTTCCACTTCGGTACCTGCCTTGAGTTCCTGCTCTGACTTTTTTCAGTGATGGGGTGTGTGATATGGAACTGTAAGCTGAAACAAAACTTTTCCTCCCTAAGTCATTGTTTTTTTTTTTTATCACAGCAATAGAAACTCTAACACTTGCACATCTTCCATTTGTCTGTAATCAGAGATGAGTTTAACCCATTCCCTACACCATGCATCGCAGATGAAACTTGTTAGGAAGGTAAAGATTCACGAGGTGAGATACCCGGAAATAGGGCTCTAGTTCTTATCTTGAAGAACCAGGAGCAAGGTTCTCAATGCTTCTGTTCCTGGATTCCCCTCACGTAAAACTAGATTCACCAACTCTATGGTCTATAATTCCTACATTTTCCTCCAATGGCATCACCAATGGCATGATCCAAAAAGCACCATGACACCTGGGAAGGACATAATATGTTCAAGTCTATGATAGCAGCTGATTGCTGGAGCAGGAGAAGTGGTACTGATCTTGAGTCATCTGAATGTTCAAAAAGGGACAGAAATGAGATTTACACATATGTGTATGGACCATGTTGCAGCTGTGTTGCTATGGGCTGACTGAAATTGGACACAATCTATCCCATGAAATCCCTAGCCTTTCTTTTAAGCTGACCTTGGAAGTAGGTTTTAATGCTGTCTCTGATCCCTTATGATCTTGGTAACTATTCTATTTGATGGAGGAATGATTCCATGCTACAGAGGAAGAATCCAGGAAGATCCTCTCTATGTAGAGGGAGATGATGTTTGAAGTATTGGCCATGATAGTCCCATCTTAAGATAATGGCAACAGCCTCAATGTTCCTCCTCATGATACTCACGGCCACCCTGTAGACAGAAGCAAGCCTTCTTAGGACAGTTTGAAAGTACTTGCTTAGTAGACTTAGAAGGGTACCTGCTTGGTGACTGATATTAATTTTGAGGAAACATTAGAGCAACCAGACTGAGCACCATTTGACAGAGTCAAGTGTTCCTTATAGATAGGGACTCCTTCTGAGAAATGTGTCCTAATAGGATTACACTGTAGAGAAACATGAAGCATGTATCCAAGCAAAAATGGCTAGAGTGCTCCTGGGCCTTATCATTGTATGCAGAACATATGGCTGAACAAGATCTCATTGAGCAGAACATGACTGCTTGCCATGGCAAAATGGATCTGTCCATAATTTCAAGGTCAGAGAAGCTGAGTAGAGGCTGTTAGAGTGAAGGATACTTAGGGAGTTGGATAAAGATAACAGCCTAAGCAGGGGATGTCAACCACTGCACATCAGCAAACTGATTGAGTCTCTAAGTGAGGTAACTGAATGTGTCTGTTGATTCCTGATTTTGTAAATGGAATCTTACACTTGTGCAGGATGCCCTTACTTGCAAGAATTGTTCACTGAAGGAAGTATTTACTTTCAATGCATTTGAAAACTAAATGCACATAATCACACACTCCAATACACACACCCTTGAAAGACTGTAAAGACTGGACCAAGTATGGCTGGTGAAGGAGCTGCATGGGAGCTGTGTGATATTCTGAAGATTTACTCCTATAGCAATGTGTGTGTGTGTGTGTGTGTGTGTGTGTGTGTGTCTGTCTATCTGTCTCTCTCTGTGTGTATATGTGTGTGTTAAAATTGTGCAAGAATGAATAAAAAAGAGACCAGGGCTGGAGAGAGAGTTCAGGAGTACATACTGCTCTTTTCGAGGACTTAAGTTTGGTTCTCAGCACCAATAAGACAGCTCACAACTAACTGTAACTCCTGCTCTCTTCTGGCCCTCTCAGGTGTGCTCTCCCCCTCCCTCAGACACACAGACACAGAAACAGACACACACACACACACACACACACACACACACACACACACACACACACAGTATACACATATTTACATATAAGTAATTTTAAAAAATTTAAACTTTCTTTTTAAAATGTTAAGGGAAAGATTCTTTAAAGATCATTCAGTGAGAGATATCTGTGGGGTTGATTTGTCTATCCCTGTAGTCATTTAGATAGTATTTTGCACTGACCACAAAGAGTTGGTGGTAGATATTTAATTATGGCAGATTCTGACTCTGACTCTGACAGCCTCTGTATTTCTGGCCAGCTGGAACTGGGAAACAGGAAAGAGGTACTAGATAATTATCCACAAATCTCCAGCTGGATTCTAGCTAATCTAGAGGGGATAATTCTAAACATACTCATGGAGGGTTATGGGGCTGCAGATATTTGCTTAGAATATGGTTTGAGCAGCAAGCAGGGATATATTCACATTATGCATATTATGAATGATTTGTATCACATGCAATGAAGATTATTGTCCCTTGGAGGGACACAGAGGTTGAAGTAACATAGGGGAATAAAGGAATGATGGGGGAACACCAGCCAATCCTATAAAGAACAAACTCATCCCACTATCCCTTGGGCCAGGTACCTACCTGCTGACTGGCGCTCATCACTTGTATCGGTCTGCTAAAGTACAGGTCATTGTCCATATCATTGTAGGTTTTGACAGCAAAGTTCACTACTTTCTGAACCTCCTTATCTGTCAGGTCATCTGGCTCCACTCTACCCACTGCTGTCTGCTTGGCTTCAGCCTTAGTACTGGCTCCAGGGCTCACAGCCAGGACCAGTGTTAGAGCTAAAGCAGCCAACAGGGGCAGTGAGGGTCTCTGCAGGCTGGTCATGGTTGGTTTGAGTTGAGCTGAGCTGCAGTAGAGCAGAGGAGAAATGGTCGGGAGTGCTTCTGGTCTGCTGCCTGGCCTTTTAACCAGCAGACTCAAGCTGCCCAGGTCCTCCTCACTCCACCCCACGTGTTACCACCCCTAGATCCTCCTTTTCCCAGCCTTACCCATTCCTCTTTGATTCTCCTCTTCTTGCACCTCCGGGCTCTCCTTGCTCAAGTCTTGGCACCTTCTCTTGTGTCTTCTCTTCTCCATTCCACTTAGCTCTTCCCCCTAAGTTCCCTCCCAATGGTTCTTCCGGCTAAGAGCTCCTATCCATGTCACTTTTGTCTTCACAAATGAGTCGTCACCCTTCTGGCTTTGAAAAGCATGGGGTTTGAGCTCAACTTCTACTAAAAAGAGAGAGATTGAAAAAAAGCAGTTTAGCTCCCTGAGGTCTTTGCGGGTCAGGGGCAGCTGTTGTATTAACACCAGGATGTTATTTCAGAGGTTCCAGAAATAACCAGTGCTCTTTCCTGGGGGAACTTCTTTGCCAAATACACTGAATTAGCCTTTATTTGGAAAAGGGGTAAATAATTCCGTTTATACAACTCACAGGTATCAGTCAGGCAATAAATGAACTTCCTAGAGCTTCTCCCTGGGCCTAATCCTCTAGAACTTAGAAACAGATTCTGGTGACTGAACCCTTAATATGACATTACAGCTGGCAGCTCAATGCAGAAATGACATGAACATATATATATATAGTTTTAAATTTTCTAGTAGACATATTAAAAATGTATGAAGAAGTAGGTGAATTTTTTTCAATGTATTTTTATAACTTGGCATATAAAATGTTATTTTACCATGTACGAATAATTCTTAACAGATAGCTTATGTTCCTTGGCTCACATATGTATTAAATCTTTGGATTCTGTGTTTGTACTGTTAAGGCAGATAGTCCCCCAGACTGTCCCTATTTCTAGCAACTCATGAGTATGTGTATTAAAAACCATGATATGGTACAGTCATGTAGTAGGCTGTGTTCTGGGGAGAATAAATTAAGTTCAGGGAATTATAGGTGCCCTGCTTGCTGGAAAGAGAGAGAAGGACAGAGCGAAAGAGATGGGTGACACTGGATAGTTGTGGCAGGATGGCTTTTGAGATCTTAAAAGGACAAGAGGGCCTATCTAGGCCACTGAACCAGAACCCTAGGCAGAGAGTATGACCCTGAGACATAACAGGTCTTGCCTCTTCTAGAAACAAGGAGCACTGGAGGATGTCTGAGCAGGAAAGGGATATTGTAGGGTCTTTCACCCTGGCGGGTGTAAAGACAATGTATGTGGGATGTAGGATCAAACTGATGAGAGGGCAGGTATATGAAAATGAATGTAAGAGTATGGTCTGTTCTTGTTGCTCTACTCAGGGAACCTCACTGTGACTCTGACATTCTTCCCTCTGTTTGGAACACTTAACTGGTTTTCCTGAACTCACCAGGAGGGAGATATGGTTAACATAGGATGAATGCTCTATTTTATGTGTGCAGAGAAATCTTAGCGAGTGCATACATCTGTGTCACCCCTCAAATGAACCAAGAAATATTCTTGGAAAGCTCTCTTGTGCCTGTACTCTCCCTGATCACACCCAGTTGTCCCTGGTAAGACCCTGTCTGTGACTTTAAGCGGAGGCTACTATTCCTTTGTTGTTTTCAAAATCTTAGAGCCCTGAAGAGTTACACTAAAGCATCATCAAATCCTGGATGGCAGAACAACTATTTACAACACGGTTCACTGAATACTTGAAGCCCATATTGAGACCTATTGTTTCAAAACATTCCTTTCAAAATATCACTGGTCATGGAAGTGCACTTTGTCACCCAAGAAATCATATAGGATAGTGTCATTTCTAAACTACTGACAGCATCTGTTCTATAGTCCATGCATCAGAGAGTCTTTTGGACTTCCAAGCCTTATTATTTAATTAATCCATTTGTAAGGCTATAGCCATGATCAATATTAACTCTCTGGTGTAGACACCTTAGGTTCATGGGAAGTGATCAAAATAACAACATTAACAGAAATTTGCAAGAAGGTGATTCCAGTTTTGTGGATTCCTTGGAGAGGTTCAAGTCCTCAGTGGAAGAAGTCACTGCAGAGGTAGCAGAAACAGCAAGAGACTTGGAAGTATCAGTGAAGCCTGAACTGATTGACATGTGTCTTCATGTGGTTGGCATGTGGAGGACATGTTGCTGGTTCAAGAATAGAAAAAATACACTTATTTTGCCAATGGGACGTTCAGGTCATGGTGCTTTCCCTTTGGAGATCAGGGAGTGACCATGTTCCCTTCTATGCTGGCTTTAGTTGTGGAGTGGCACTACATAAGGGACATGTTTTCATGCCCCTGTTCATTGTGGACATGTTTTTCTATTGTGAAATTGTACCTTGACCAAAATGCAACCAGGATACAGAAGTTCCTTGAGGAAGATCAAGCATATACATTTAGGATGAGATTTTATAAAATGTCAGGGAAAATAGTGTCTATAAGCAATCACATAAACGCAAAGAATAATACTCATGAGGAGTTCAGGAAAATCATCCCAGGTTATGTACTGTGCTAATTCTAAAATAGGATATTTTAACCTTGCAGTAATTTTTGCTTTTGTATTAGTTCCTTACCTCTTGTAACTATTTCAATATTACCCCTCCCCAAATACTTTTAAGATGGCATTGAGTATATCTCAATCTTCATCTTTGTTGAAAGCTCAGGGCCATTTTTTTCAGGCTTTATTGTTCTTGCTATTGTGTGGCATATTCGTCTGCCTAGATGCATTTCTACTTGACTCAAATTTTATTTAAAACCGAAGATATCACCATAATACAAGATTTGATGCAAGGGATGGAAGGGATCTTTTATTTTATTGACAATTAATTACAAAAGAGGTATCTCTAAGCTTGAAGTCAGGAGTAAGTTATAGCTGAATAGTTCTCTCAATAGCTTTTTCTCTAAAGCAACTGAAGCATTTCTTTAGCAATGTTAAATTTTAAAATATTTAATTTAGGGTTGAAGAGATGACTCAGAGGTTTTCCAGAGGGCTCCAGTTCCTAGCACCCATGTGGCAGCTCAGAATTTTCTGTAACTCTAATTCTTGGGAATTGGATACCCTTTTGGTTTTTTGAGACAGGGTTTCTCTGTGTAGTTTTTGGTGCCTGTCCTGGATCTCACTCTGTAGACCAGGCTGCCCTTGAACTCACAGAGTTCTGCCTGCCTCTGCCTCCCGAGTGCTGGGATTAAAGGTGTGTGCCACTGCTGCCTGGCAATAAAATACTTTTTAATTAAGGAACTTACATTGTTTCTAGGCTATTGCACACACACACACACACACACACACACACACACACACACACACACACACAAACCAGATTCCAGTTCATTGTAAACATAACTTTATATGCACCAGGAAACTAAAAATTCTTGTGATTTGATGTGTTGTTATAGTCACTTTTTGTTAATACTGCTAAGCTTTGCCTATAATTATGGATAATTATAAAAGAATAAGTAACTAGCTCTTAGACCTGTCTATAAAATTATTATGGATATGATAGCAACACATAGCTTTTATTTGCAAACTAAATATGATCAAGAAATGTTGTCTAAAATAAGCAAAAATTCTTTAAAATTTTTATTAAAATCTCTTTTCAACATATTTTGATCATGATTTCCTATTCCATAAACTCTTTCCAGATTATCCTGTGGTACTGGAAGTCACTCTTTCTGCTATCAGAGGAAAAAGGTAATCATCAATGTCACCCAGTTACAAACCCCATGATCTATAATGTGGCCTGTCTAAAAGATATACTGATACAATGCTGGCACAAATGTTATGGAAGTAACTAACCACTTTATTTTTAACTGAATTTAAGACCTACTTCATGAGATGGAACCCATACTTGACACAGCTAAAGTGGTCAATAATCTGAGACTAGATAGGTCATAGGCCCTACGGGAAAACCTACCAGTATTATTCTGGTAAAGGAACATACCAATAAAACAACTCCTAATGACACATTATTATATCCATAGTTCTGTGCATGCATCAGCTCTCACAGAGAAGCTTCTTATTTCAGAGACCCACATCTTTTTGAGAAATTTAAAGAATTCACACTTTGAGAATTTCATAAATGTATACGATATATTTGATGATATCCATCCCTAATGCCTTCCAACTCTTCCTAGATGTCCCCAACACATTCCTCTCCAAATTTCATGTCATCTTTCTGTAATCCACTGGATCTAATCCATGCTGCCCCTATGTACATGGATGTGGGACCATCCACTGGAACATGGACAACCTACCAAGGGCCATAGCTCTGAAAAAAACTAATTCTTCCTCCACCACTTGATTTCAGTTGGCAAAGGTCCTCCCTCAACTAGAGTAGGACTTCCTGGCCTGTTACCCATCTATGTTGTAATCCTGACTGGCTTGATGGCTTGATTTCTTTTCTTTTCTTTTTTTGTTTTCGAGACAGGATTTCTCTGTGTAGCTTTGCGCCTTTCCTGGAACTCACTTGGTAGTCCAGGCTGGCCTCGAACTCACGGAGATCAGCCTGGCTCTGCCTCCTGAGTGCTGGGATTAAAGGCGTGTGCCACCACCGCCTGGCAACTGAATTGATTTTTTGCAAGCCTTTTATGCAAGCACCCATAAGCTCTCTGAGCTCATGAATGTAACAGCCCCACCATGTTGGGAAGATATTCTCTCACAGTAGTATTCTTCTAACTCTTAGAATTGTACAATTCTGTCTTCTGCAATGTGCCCTGAGAGTTTTTTTTTTTTTTTTTTTTTTTTTTTTTTGTGTGTGTGTGTGTGTGTGTGTGTGTGTGTGTGTGTGTGTGTAAATGATAAGGAAAACACCAATCAGCATCTAAAGTGGAGTAACATAATCCAGAAGGCAACATGACCTTATATTACATGCTGCTGTGACCTCTGAGGATCACAACTTGACCAACACCTTAAAGGGCCATATCAT